TGTTACTTTTTGTTTTTTTTTGTGCGGTTTATTAGCTTTAGTGTGTCATCTGTTTCACTTGACGTTGCCGACGTTATTTCGGCGCGTCCGAGTAAATTAACCTAGTCGTACGTTTAGGGTATGTTGTTCTAGTCATTCATTCACAGAATATCCGTTTGTTCGCAGCAGTATTTTTTTTTCTTCTGGCCAGAATTTATTGCATGCGTTGGTGCTACTCTATCCGTGTGTTGCTTTATACGCCTTCAATCGGGTCAGCATGAGTGATCTATCTTGCGAACGTTGCTTTCTCTTGACTGTCTATTTGCTGTTCGATACATCGTAGTATATTTTGTTTGCAGATTACCTATAAGTGGCAGGAATTGTAGATAAAAGAGCCAAAGGACGTCGAAAAATGGGGAAGGAGCAGTTCCGCGAGTCCGATTTGGCTCGGAAAGTGTAAGTATATTGTTTTAGTAACATCTTAAAGACCTAATACTCCTGGATTTATTTGTGTTTCGGCGTATAGGTGTTTGGCGTACAAGTTTTATGCCGGCTGACAGTGATTTCATGCGGCAGGCAGGACAGTATTGTCTTTATCAAGGCATCCGATTGCTATGAAGAGTCGTTCCTGAAGTGGGTTCGCCGGCCCAATGTGGTAGCGCGTGAGGTCTGCGCGGGTAAGCGAGCTTAACTAATAAGGCCTTATCAAAATAGTATTCACGCGCTTTTAGATGGATGTCGCTCAGCACTTCATTGGCAAATTCCTACTTCTGAAGTCGTTTTACGCCTTTTCCCTTTCATCGTCCTAAATTCATGTGGTGCAACTAAGACTGCCCCATTAGGAACTTTTATCTGACAAGTTCAGAGTACTTTGGGATGTATACCCTAGTTCGCTGCGGACGGCTGGGCGTGTCAGGCAGTATGAGTATCACCCCGTCAAAGCCGTTCTCTGCCTTCTTGTTGAAGCGCGCATGCGACAAAAAGTGGTAGAAAACGAGTAATACGAACGATATGATACAGTCATATCACTTGCTCGCTTTAACAACTGGTGGAGAACGGGTTTGGCACCGCGCCAAACTCATCCTGCCTGACACGCCCAACAGTCCGCAGCGAACTACACTATATGTCGTTTGGTGCGATCACTTTTTCACGTACAGTCAAAACTTGTCACGCAAACCGTCTTAGAAAAAGGGCAACTCGTCCGAAACTTCAAACTTGTGCACTTCCTTAAAAGCAAGCTCCGCATTCATTTAATGTTCAGACTCTTTCTTTTGACATGGTGATTCTGCCTGTAAGTATGGAGGGTGTACTGCTTACTCGGCTCAAAAATACGTAAGGAAAGGGCGACCGCTACGGAACACGGTCCGCCCACTGATCAAGGCACCGCCCAACTTTCATTACTGGAAGTATCCTGGTAGTGCGGTTATTCCGCTACTAGCTCTCTCCTGAATGGTGAGAGCGAGGACAGGGCAGATCCCAACTCGTCCGACCACGACCTTTCTTCGCCTTATAAACGTACGCACGCAGTTCGGCTTGGGGTTCTGTTTAAGGTGTTTTGGGCTAGTTTCTTTACTGCCTTTTTCTTTATCTTTCGTCTTTGCGTAACTCGCCGTTTTTCACGAGCGTTCGAGCCGCACTGCTGACCATTTTTGCGCGGGGCGTGCCTCTGAATAATCATTAGGAAATGACCTGGGTGAGCTCCGAAGCGGGAGGTGGTCGTTTGGCACGATCACATTGCCGTTCACTTATTCTGAGGTGCCTACGAAGTTGGATAGCACGTCCGAGTGGGTGTATGTCGTTTGGCGCGATTTTCCTATCACCTCCCCGTCAAAACGTGTCAGGTGAATAGTGTTCCAGATGAGACAACTCGCCCATAGTTCCAAATTAGTTTTTTCCCCCTAAGTAATCATTAGATGAAAGCTTGGCTGAGAACCATGGCAGACTACAAATTACGAAGGCCTCATAGTCTAGTGATTCATACAAGTTATCCAACTTGGTAGGGACTTACCATACCTGTCAAAACACGTCAATTGCAATGGAGTCGCCGCCAAAGCGGACCCCGCCTCCTCCGTCCGAGTCACATGAGCCTGTGAGGTATTCGAAAGATTGGTAACCCACATACATAGAGTCGTGGAATGCATGGCTTTGTTGTTCATGTTTCTCAGTCCGACGCTTCCTAATGATCAACGTAGGAAATGCGACTTAGAGTGGAGTTTGGACGAGTTAATCCGAAACTGTAGCTGTGAGTCGCGCTTGCCTGGCAAGTTCTGACGAGCATTAGCGGCAAAATTTATCATGCCAAAACGACAATGCCAGGCCCGGTCGCGACCGTGGCCATGCTCAGGATTTCAGGGCATACCTTCACATTCTTGTTCCTAGCGTTTATGCCGCGCCCTCGCGGTGCTACAGTTGCCAAAAACTTACTTACGGGTAGTGTTCGGTTTTCTCTGAGTGAATTGAGGTCATTTTAGTAATGTAACTGGCAGAAATTGACAGTGAAGTCACAAATCTTTCAGGGTACTATATCCAAACATGTACAGTGTAAGACATGTGGACGGAATTTAACGGATTGTGTCGGTCATTTTGGCTATGTGACTCGATTTCCCTGTGTTTCATGTTGGATTTTTCAAGTTAATTATACAAGTTCTACAGTGTATATGTAAAGTGAGTTGTTTTCTCTATGATAAGTCGTTTTTTTGGAATTATTCAGATGAGAACAGAGAGATAAGAACTAGCTATGAGCTGTTCCCTTGCTGCTGTAGTTTAAGAAGCCTCGCGTGCATTTGTCCATGTACAGTAATGCAAGATGGGCTTAATGGGGACCGTGGTTTCCTGAATGAGATCGTCAGGTCACCCTTGCGCCTCTCTCATTAATCACCGCCCCCCCCCTTCCCCCACTCGGAAACACGCACCTATTTATTGTTTTCAGGTTTTTCTTTGGTTGTGTATGTCAAATTACTCTCGATCTGACAAAGTGTTTCCTGTATGAGAAGGGCTCCATCTCTTACCTTAAGTTCGATATACAGGGGGCGGGTCCTCAAAAAAGTCATCTTTTACTCCTTGTTTTTCGAGCGCTGTAAGTATACACTTTATTAAATTTTTGATCGGACATTTTCTGCCTACCATATTAAAGAGCAGATTAAATCACTATCATGATACTTCGCCACAGCCTTCTGGAGGAGCGCCATCGAGAGATTCTGCCCCGCGAGCGTGATTCGGTACCTGCGTTCAGCGAGATGGTTGATTTCTCCGCCAATGTAGACCACCCTGTTGAGCTCCTCCCAAACCAGGTAATTGAGGGGGTTTAGTTCAGGTGACCTGCTCAGATATTCCATCTTCTTCAAGTACTTAACGCCCCTCCATTCCAAGTAGGCGAGAGTTTTTCCAACGCCCTTCGTTCCATGTGGTGTCACCCAATACTGTAGCAGTACAAAGTTTCCAAGAAGGTACGGGCGACGACATGTAGGGAGGATATTCTTCTCGAGTTGCTCGATGTAACCGCCAGCGCTCACCTTCAGTCCGGGGTCCACGAAGAAAATATCGGTCTTCACATTCCAGGAACTTCCGGTCCATACCACCAACTCGCTCCTTGGCGACTGCGGTGAAGATGATATTCATGAAAAAGGGCTATATGTCTTCCTAATCGTGGAGCCACTAGGTGGAAGCGCTATGGGGCATGGCTGGAGACGCCGCAACCTTCACGTGCTAGTTGCCTTGCCTCATGGCTCGTTGTTTTCGTTATAGGGCGATCTAACGATGGTGGTCTGCCGGCGAGAATGTCAAAAATGCGGCGAACTCACCCAAATCCTTGCTCCAACGACAACCGGTGCATATTTAAAGACAGTACCCGCGATCAAGCGGTCTCGAAATGCCTATATTGGCAATCGTCCTGCATTCGCAGAATGTACTACTTTCGTCATCTCGAAAGTTCCTGGACGAAAGAGACAAAGAAGATAGAGACGCGTGATTTTGGCAACCACTGCAACCACCTGCAACCACGATTAGTTTCACCCTGCAATACGTCTTACAAGCGGAATTGCGTGTGTACGTAGCGTTGGAACGTCGTAGGGCGACTTCATATGCTCTACTTCTTGTGAACACAGTAGATGCCTGCTCATTGAGCTTCGCTCTCATGATGAACTCGTCCAAGGCGCCCGTTGCTAAGGGGGGGTGGCTCTGTTCAGAGTGTTTCCGAAGGTTTTTTTTTCGCTTCTTTCTCTACTGGAGGGGGATGGGGGGGTAGCTTATGCGGTCCTTATCTGCGTTGCATAAACTGAGGCGCACTTACTACGCCGTAACAACTCTGTTCGGCAACGGCCATTGTACTTTAATATAGCTCTGAATAGCTCTGGCGCGCCATTCACCGCGCGCGACGTGAGCGGCGTGACTTGACTAGCTCACGATAGAATCGCCTGTCTCCCTACCACTGCGGCTTATCGGAATGGCGTACGTTAGCTGAAAAGCCATGGGAGCTTGAGTGAAAGTATAGAAATCGCAGCTGGAAAGATTATTTACTCGTAGATACAGATCGAGACATCTTTGATATGGAGTTAAATTGAAAAATACTTCAGCCGGCGTATTGAAACCACAGTGCTGCATCTTGTTTGTAGGGGTAGTCTCATTGGTTAACTTTCGTGTAACCTGCGACTAAAAAGGTCAGAATGAAATTATTCGATTGTATTTTTATTCTAGAGTTGCTCTGGATTACTGCTACATGATGAGCAACGGGCACATTATCTACGGCAAATTTCTAATCCAAATTTGGACTATTTACGACGGAAGGCGCTCCATAAGAACATAGTGGCTGCATGTAAAAAGACGAATCCTTGCCCAAAATGTGGGCAAAGGAACGGTATGACTTTGGCGTCAGTGGAATTTTCTTTTTTGGAAATGTTTTCCTAATGTTGATTTGCTTCTACCTTATTTATAGCGTGTCATTATTGTTACTAGTTATTATTGTTTTGTTTAAATTCAGTGTATTATACTCTTGTTTCCATATTTAAGGTCTAGTGAAGAAGGCTATGGGCACGGTATTGAAAATTGTCTATGCGCATGGCATCACAGAAGACAAGGTGTGTTTGTGTGTGTGTGTGTGTGTGTGTGTGTGTGTGTGTGTGTGTGTGTGTGTGTGTGTGTGTGTGTGTGTGTGTGTGTGTGTGTGTGTGTGTGTGTGTGTGTGTGTGTGTGTGTGTGTGTGTGTGTGTGTGTGTGTGTGTGTGGTGGCTATGTGGGCAATAGTTTTTCTCATCCTGTTTAGCCATTGCACTCCTCGGCGCTTTTTGCGAAGTTCGGTCTGATCCTCTATTTGTTTGAGTCCCCGGGGATAGTTTGACCCCTTCCCCCGTCACGACCATCGCATCCGTTTGGCACGAAACGTGAAGGCCCACGCCACAGGCGCTGGCGCTAAAATGCCCCCAATCACCAAAGTTGTATAACTTGCCCTAGTGGTAATGTGACCTCCTGAACGTGGACATCGCATCTGCATGGGGTGACAACTGGGTTAAAGATCGGGTGAAGGGGTGGTACACGTGACAGCGTGGCCTGCTTTTGCTCGTCAGCGTCCTCCCTCGAGATAGTGATTCCTTGCTTAAAGACATGTTCCGCGATCAAGTGATGAGCAAAATGCCTCGTGCATTTTCACGGCGCTATTGATTCCTACTCCCTGGCAGAGGCAATTTGCCAACAATTTGGGCCGGCGCCAGGTATTCGTTGCGGGACCCTACGTCGCTAGCTCCGCCCTGCCCCAACCGGTGCGTGCAGTCCTCGATTATCGCTTTTAACACAAATTACGACTGACGTAACCAGCATTAAAAAATACGACATAGTATTACTGAATCGATATTTCCAAAGGCGGCACTCGCTGGGTGGAACGGGATTTTGCGAACTTTTGCAAATGTGCCGAGACATTTTGCAAAATCCTGTAAAATTACCAAATGGGCCAGTTCCACGATTCTTAAACTGTTTATGGCTAAATAAAAGAAGTTGATGGATTTCCGGTCAAACACAAGCAGGCAACAGACTAACCTACAAGACCTTATGCGCCGTGTCGCTTCCTCCGTCCCCCATTTTTCCTCGGTCATTTGCCGAAGGTAACGTAGTGGCAGGTGGCACACCTACCACGCGTATGTTCTGTGAGTCAATCCCCTGGCTCCTGTCCAGGCCAATCAATCCTTCTTCGGAAACAGTAATTCGAACCAGTTTCACCAGGGATAAAAAAACTAAGTTGCACATCATTGTGGCTCCTGCAAGTCTTGGTGTCTTTCATTAAGTCACACTAATACATGAATGAAGTAGGATATGCGCCGCATCCCAAAAAGGGATTATCCTTGTACACCCTCGCCTCACTCCTTTCAGACCCTCGCCTTACACGACTGCAGTTCGAGGTGCTCCCTCCCCAGAGTTGATACCAATATCGGGAAGTCGCAAACTATGTCTCGTACATCGAATGCCATCGCAAGCCATATCAAGGCGATAATCAAAGAAAGCCACTACGATTCTGAATGGAAGTTCAATACGTCTCGCATTATAAAAAGTGTTGATCAATGGCAAAAGCTTTATCCTCTATTCGAAAAAATGTATTTACTATTGCAATGCGTGTACCGATGTCCAAGGAACGGCCAAGAATAGCATCGTGTGCCAATGACCAGCTCCGTTAGTTTCGGGCCTTTCGTGGACCAAATTAACTAACAGGACATCTCAGTGGCCCGCGCCAATGACGTTCAGAAAATACAGGAATTTACAAATGTGCCCAGTATGATGACAGACTTGCTTGTCCCCAGTCCCATTTGAAAGGCAATTTCAGGCGCAGTTTGGGGAAAGACATTTGCACTTCTCTACTCCACCAGTTCCGCTTCCAAGACTCATGCCTGGTTTCTACAAGCTTCGGCTGATGTCATTTCATGGCTTCACCAGATTTTTTCCCACCAGGTATCACCGATGGCCCCGGCCCGTCGATGGGAAGCAGCAAAAGAGCAACTGTGCCTCCCCCCCTCGCCGGCGCCGAACTGCGCCCGATTTTATCTTGAAATCGTATCAAATTAGTAATAATCCACGTTTTAGGCACCGTTCACAGCTTGCGATAAAGACGAGATGTAGAACGTATCGATTGGGGCAGGGCAGAGCTAGCGACGTAGGGTCCCGCAACGAATACCTGGCGCCGGCCCAAATTGTTGGCAAATTGCCTGCCAGGGAGTAGGGCTTACGGTTGATAGTGTACATAGCGTTGCATGAAGCGTCGTAGGGAGATTTCCTATGCTCTTGCCAGGAATTTGCTGCAACTAGAATCCTGCTGATTAGGCTCGTCCCCGTGATGAACTCGTCCAAGGGGGCCACCCCCACTGCTAGAGGGGTCTGTGCTCAGGGTGTTCCCAATTTTTTTTTCGCTTTGTTTCTCTGCTGATGAGTTTTTGATGGGCTACTTCATTACTGAGCACGTGCTACCTGTTACACATGATTGCGGGGATCGTCTTTAACTAAGGCTGAGCCTCAACAAAGGGAAGGATCACAAACTTAGACTGCCGAAGAAAGTATTTCCTCGTGTTGCCATGTTCCCCTTATTGCCTTAGCACGTCGCCTTGCGCGAGACCGCACCACGCACGCCGGGGTCAAATAGGTACGTGGTGCCGTCTTTGTAACGCGAGCGGTAAGCGGATTCATGTCAAGGAAATGTGATATTTGTGTGCAGAAGGTCGAACTACCCCCGCAACCAGATTTGAACCAAATTTGTGACCGTAGACGAAGCGGTGAAAAAGAAAAAAACTGGCCCGATTTTGGAAGATTGGGGCGGGTATTCTTGACCGGCAATTCATAACTTCCTTTGATCCAGCCGTAGGGGCCGTAGGGATGTTAAGTGATATAGGGGGCTGTACATGAACATACTGCTGGGTGGCAGGAAGTGACACCAGCTGACATGGGCTGACAGGGGGCCTCAAGCGGGGAGGGTCACCAAATTCATAACTCACCAACTCGCATCGCAGCAGCGGTGGAACGTTGGTTCCAAGCACTGATAAAAAGGGCTGGAGTGAGCATCAATGGTGGGTGGCAGGAAGTGATAACAGCTGACAAGGGGCCTTAAAGGGAGGCTCACCAAATTTATAGCTCCCGTTACAGCCATGGACTGGACCATGCGCGAAGAAAAGCGCGTCAGCCAACTGGTAAGCTATATATTACGCTAAATGATCGAGTACAAACCTTCGTCGTTATTAGAATTAACTTTGGCTGGAAGTATTCTGTTCATTTTGAAAGAGCTTACGTATTTTTTCTTCCAGATGCGAGAATTCACAACCGCGACAGAAGCAAATACAGATCTCTCGGCCACACTTTTCAAGTCGAAATTCACTCTGTTAAATCCACTGCGTGTTCAAAAACTATTTAATAATATCACTGCTGAAGTAAGTTGTCAAATCACTGTTTTTTGGTTTCTATCTGCATAACCCTGAGATATTCACGTTTATTTTGAAGGAAATTCCAATTCTAATGGTGAAGTCTGGTGAATCGAAACATCCTAATGATCTCTTATTGACGAGAATTCCTGTACCTCCAGTTTGTGTTCGTCCATCCGTTATATCAGGTAACTTCTAGCTATTACTGCTTCACTTGAGTGGTTCCTATTGAGTTATCCCATTCGAAAACGTAGAAAACTTTACACAAATAAAACGAAGAAGAAAACAGCTAAAAAAAGTAATATTTCGGCTCCAAGTGCCCTAGTTCCCCTTTCATCAATGACCCGCCCCCACAGTCCAGGGAGCGTTTAGACACCTAGCACCTTCGTTTTTTTCATCAAATGTGAATGAAATGGTGTTGATGACACTTTCCAGGATTGGCAAACTGCCGTAGTATTTGCCTCCCGAGAGTATACATAGTGTAGTTCACTGCGGACGGTTGGGCGTGTCAGGCGGGATGAGTTTGGCGCGGTGCCAAACCCGTTCTCCACCAGTTGTTAAAGCGAGCAAATGATATGACTGTATCATATCGTTCGTATTACTCGTTTTCTACAACATTTTGTCGCATGCGCGCTTCAACAAGAAGGCAGAGAACGGCTCTGACAGCGGTGCACACTCATACTGCCTGACACGCCCAATCATCCGCAGCGAACTAGGGTGTACCTTCCATTGACTAGAACAGTTGAAAGCGCAGGCTGTAGCTCCGGCGAGTAAGACGTTTGAACCCAGCGCTCACTATGTTTTAGGAACATTCCCCAATAATAAGGGCCTGGCACTGTGACGAGTTATGGTGACCTGTTTTAGTTGCGTGGAACCGTCCATTTGTCGATCTGTATGTCAAGGAACAGGCAATACAGGGGGGCCAAAAAAAATCACTTTTCTTCCTTGACTTTCAGGGCGCTATAAGTTACACTTAATTGAATTCTGATTGGACATTTCCACCACCATATTCAACAGCATATTGTATACTATCATGATGCTCCGCCACAGCCTTCTGGACGAGCGCCATCGAGAGATTCTGCCGCGCGACCGTGAGGCAGAATCTTCCGTGTGGAGGCACCCAATCCTGTAGCAGTAAGAAGTCTCCAACAACGTACAGGCGATGACATGAAGGCAGGATATTTTTCGATGTAACCGTCAGCGCTCACCTTCAGTCCGGGGTCCACGAAGAAAATATCGGTCTTCACATTCCAGGAACTTCCGGTCCATACCATCAACCGCGCCTTGGCGACTGCGGTGAAGATGATGTCCTAGACCGTGGCGACGTTGTCGGAGCTGCTCGATGTTGGAGGTCTTCCAGATCGAGAGTACTGGTCTCCAGGTAGCTATCCATGGGTGACTCCATACTAGAAGTTTCGCAGCTGTTTGGAGGTGACGTGAATTCCAAAGGTCTTCTCCAGTCAGGCTGCGACTGGAGATGACTTCATATTTTGGTGTACATGAAGGTGATGGGCGAGAGCCAGCTCCTGCTTATCGAGGCTTGGGTATCTTCCGCCCTGGTACTCGTATCCACTTCCTCTGTCTGGGCTGCGAAAACTTCGCTGATATGTGACTCGGCAGAAGTGACTTTTTTTGCCCCCCCCCCACCCCGGGTTCTTTGTATAGAACCGCTCGAAAGCCGCAGAGCAGAAATCTATTGTCGTGATGGTTATCCGCTTGCGCCCATGTAACTCTTCGTAACACAACTCCGGCGGCTTGTCAATGCATTCATGCAAAACTGACAAGGATTGTGAGTTTCGCTCGGAGTCCAAGACCGCCCATATTTCGTCTAAGGCCACGTGCGTTTTCACGGTCATGAATGACATCTTAGGCAGCGTTCAGACTTGTAGCGCTAGAGCGTCGCGCTACAGCGTCGCGCTACAGCTCCGCTTCGGACCGTACTGCTATTCCCAACGTTAGGATGATTAGAGTTGCTTACAGAGAAAAGTGGGAAGGTTGCTGGAGTTTTCTTGAGAAATTCACGGAAAGGTGAGACTGATACAGCTGTAACTATCTGACCATCCTTGACAGTTACTCCATTAGTCACTATTTTTCTGGTACTGCTTTTAGGCGTAAACAGTGTCGCTTGCTTGTCGCTATTAGGAGCATTTTCATGCAAAAAACACCAGCAACGCCGTGCACGCAAACTCAAAGAGTACTCGCGCCACCTAAAAACAAGCACGCATGTTTTTTTTTTACCGGAGACACAAGAACCATAAAGGAACTTCTTGTTTGCCTTGTGTTAACGCATTGGTGACCAGACAGTCTTCGCGTGCCTGTTGTGGGAGATAAGGCCATTTTTTTCTGCTGCCGACAAATGCGACTGAATACTGTGTGTTGGTTTGCCATCTGTACGTGGATGCCAAAAACTACCAAAAGTACACAAAAACACTTTTGCCTACGAGCCACAATCATGGAAAGTGCTTAGTGCTTCTGCAGCATGAAACAGAAGCGCGTCAAGCCCAAACCAAGCTTTCTGAGATACGCCGTTTGTCTGACCTTTAGGCAGAACCCGAAGAACTTTGCTAGCAGTCATATGCACTAAAGGCCGGAGCACATCAATGTTGGGGAATCCCAACAGGGGGCCGTATTTGGCCGCCAGGAGAGGGGGTCGTATTTGGGCTGAGAAAAATTTATTTTGATAGTTGATTTTTCTCGCTTCACGGACGTTGTAAAGGGGGGGGGTCGTACTTGCTCATTGTTGGGAGGGGGGGGGGGTCGTCTTTACTTTCTGGCCTTTCTAGGAGTGGTGGTTCGACTTTTCGTGATCTCCCAGTTTCATGCGTACTATAATACCCCCCCCGCTGGACAGCAAA